TCTACCCCAGCAGTTTGTAATCCGCGCCGCTCACTTGTTTTTTTGATGCGTAGTATTTGTCTCAAAATCGTTCCTTCTTCGTAACTTTCGCGTTACCTCCGTGTTTACTGTCTAGGTTTTACTTGAGTGCATGATAGCCAATTTGATTCTCTCATATTTTACTCCGTGGCATTCGGTTTTCCTGGTCCGGTAATATTTTCTAATTTTAATCATATCCACGGAAATCCCTCACGTGTCCATAATCAATTCATTACTAAAATATTCACACTGCTTTCTTCCATCTATTTATCATTCACAACTACATTAATTTCCCATTGTTTGTAAATTTATACGGATAATGTTGATCTCCATTGCTGTCGTTACAACATATTTGGATAACACTTTTTTTTAAAAATTATAATATGTTATGAGAGTTTTAAATCAATTAAATATAAATTATTTAAACATTGGTAAAAAATTCCTATCACATTTTGGTGAGAATTTCAATTTTTTGAACTAATAAAATTCGTTTTAATTTTCTTCACTATCGTCCACACTGTTCATAAACCTGAAAACATATGTTATTAAATGTTTTGAGACTCATTAAATGTTATGATACTCTTAAAAAACTGAGACAGACCTCCGACATCACGTCGAAAATCAATTTCAAAAATGTATTAATTTTTTTCTATTTTAAATTTGGCGCCAAAATTGCTTGACAAAGTACCTTCAAATTCAAATATTTTTCTCTGTCTCTACACATTTTCTTTTAGCCTGATTCGTGCAATAGAAGCTTGGAAAATATAAATCGTGAAAAACACGTTTCTCATTGTGAATCTGCAACATTACCCTAAGCGGCGGATTTTTTGGGGAATCTACACCATTTTATATTCTTTTTCATTTGAGTATCGCGATTATCGATTTGGTTTGAGCGCAATTTTCACCCCCCTAATTCGGCTATAGCATTTACTAATAAGAATGCAATGGGAGGATACTATTCAAAATACAGCAAAATATGGTCCAAGGTCGGCCTCTTGACTTATCGATCTCTGTTCTCTCTCCGTGCGCCGCTATGTAACAATATCAAAGGTAGCCTCACGCGTTTGCTGCAAAATTTATCAGCCTCTCCGAATTTTTATACGCGACATACATCGCGAAAGCAAAGGGAGAAAGGTGAGGGAGATAAGGCCCTCGCTTCCGCCCTCTTTCTCACTTCCTACCACAGACACCTCAAAACCAACAAAGGAAGAGGCCCTGGCGAGAACAGCAGACACGATGTATTATTGCACATCGATGTAAATATTGTGCAAAAACAATGCCAATACTCATTAGACAACTTTATGTGTCATCACTATATCACCAAGTAACAGGTTCTTAGCTGAGAGGTAAATACAAATCTGCCAATTCTCCCGTGTTTGGTCTTCTGTCTTTTCAGATTGATAATCACCCTGATTTGATTGCTTTTCCTCTGGTGTTTCCTCTCCACCGTAGTTCTCTCCTTCTGTTTATTTTTTTTTATCTCTTCCATTAAGTTCTTCTGGTGGAATAGGTGCCACCCTCTTTTTACTTCGTACGTCTTTCTTATCGTCCTTTACATTAGTTTTCTTCTCTATACTCAAAAGAGATCCCTGAAAATTCTCTCTTTTCATCTACTACCTCTTGTACCCTATACTTCAGGGTATCAGTATTTTTTATAGCTCCAGACAGGGCTTTCTTCACACTCATCGTGTTGTTTTTCAGCATATACTTCTCTATCGCCCTCAGGCTTTGATTCAATTCATCTAGGAGCTTTCCTTGGGATTCTACCAATTGTTGCATAGTTCCCCATTTTTCTATTGTGTGGTGAGCTGCTGTTTTTTCATTACTTCCTGCTACCAAAGAGTGCTACAAGATTATCCGAATTCCGTCCCTCCATAGGTACCTGGCGGTACCTTGTCCACTCTGCGGCGAATTTACTGCTGTTTGCGGCAGATTTGCCGCGCCATCTCGTTCCGCAGTCGCGCTTACGAGTATCCCTGGAGTGGTTGGGGTACTTGGAGGCGATTTCCGCAGCTTCGACCTCCCAGAAAAGGGGTCAAAACCTGCATGCTCTAGGCTTTCGCTTGTCACAGTGTAGAATTTCAGAGACGCCAAGCGGTCCACGTCTCTGAGATTGCAGTCGCTGGTTGACGACCGCCGGGTGCCTGCTTTCCCACCCTGGCTGCCGGTTCTGGGGCTCCGATCCCCTGCACCGTAACGGTTGATCCTGAGGGACCTTCCATCGTGGGTTACTTTTCGGGGTCACTTTCCCCAAGCGTTTTAACGCTGCCCCCAGCATCTGGATTTGGTTTACGGGTGGTATTTTATTTCCTACCTACCCTCCGGCGTGGCCGGTAAGAGCATTCCCCGATCCGCTTCCTGGGGACGCGTCCGATAGGAGACCAGATTACTCCCACGAAATTATTATTATTATTACTACTACTATTATTATTATAAGTAGTAGCATTAAAATAACACCTTGAAATGTTAAATTATCTGCTACTAAAAATAATTATGTACTGTATAATATCCTAATCTATCTGTAACAAGTATTGTAGTATAATTTCTAGACCAATGACCCCATCTCGATCAGGTTTCGTTCAATTTCCCTGGTTCCTTGAGCAAATGCTGAGATGGCCCCTTGTTTGCTCCTGAACAGTAATGTAACTTCGGTCTCTCCACCCAAGACATCATATTGATTCGTCATACACGATTGTAATTGTATATGTGACTGAATAAATATTATTATTATTATTATTATTATTATTATTATTATTATTATTATTATTATTGTTATTAGAATCGCAACAAAAATACCAGAATCCTGGTACGCCTGTCAACACATTTGTGAAGCATTTCTGTTTGAGGAGAAAAATAAATATGTACCATATTAATTGACATTCCAACAGAAATATGCCTCATTTAGAACAAAAAATTAATAAATTTATACATTTCTCATAAACTCCCTGGATTTAATGATAAGCATTCGAATATAATTTGAAAAAAGTGTGTTGCTATTTTGCGTACTTCCAGCGTCAAAAACGAAACATGGGAAATTCGAATTTTCCATTTTGAATTTTTTTCCAGTTTCCGAAAAGTTAGAAAGGATCAGAATCTCTCTCCTAACCGTTCTTTACTACATATGCGAAAAAAAATTAAAGAAAAAAACTTACGGCCGTTTCTGAGAAAATAATTGTTTTAAAACTTAATAATTGCCCATGTTTGAAACAAAAAATACATTTTCGGCAAAATGAACATGACCTAATTTGGAGATCTTTTTTTGATGATCCTAATTAATAGAAAATTTATCTTCGTAATGGTAGTTGTAGGAAGTCGCTGATAAAGTGTTAGAAAAAAAAAAAAAGATTATCGAACATGAGATTTGCACCGTTCTCGTAAAAGTCCTTTACACTACCCAATAACGAAATTTAATAATAAAAATTGGACCCATTGTACTGAAAATGTTCCGCAGGCTTCATGTAAAGTAATTACCGTCCATAATTAAAATATCGGTTACAAATTGCAGAGGCCATGACATCAGCCAAATCGATCGGGGAAAATAATTTTTTGAGAAAACATGCTGATCGGTTTAGCCGCTGGCGTTGTTCACACAGACATTTTGCCGTCAATCGATTTTTCGGTATCAATGACCCAAAAATTCTGACTACTGATATCTCTTAAGAGGATTTTTTTCTCCTAATTTAGCAACTACATTTATCTACTTTTTCGTTGCCAGTGCCAGGCAATACGTTTTTGTGTCGAAAATTTGCAGTTTTTCCCCCGCAGCATTACATAACTTTCTCTATAATGCGAAAGCAGTGGCATGAAAGTAAAAAGCGTGCTGAAAACTAATTGAAAACACCTTATTAACCATTTATGATTATATTCAATCAATCACAAAATTCAGAATCGAGCCCTGAGGATTTTTGCTTTGACAAACTTAGTCTAGGTTCGCTTTTAACGAGCTTGTCATTTTACTCTCCACGGACAATACGCGTAAGTTTTATTTTCAATATTTTTAAAGGGGGCCCCAAGGAGGTATCAGTAGGTGTGACATTTGAATTCTTTGACTTGAGTGTTCCTCTGTTACAATGAAATGTTTCAAATCATGTATAATGAAACCCAGAATGTCAAATTACAAATTTGGAAATCATTTTTGAGTCATCATAAAATACGTAATTCAAACTTTACACTAATTGATTTATAGTAATAAATCGCTTTCAGAGACATCTAAATTGTGTTACAAAAAAATTGATTTTTGGGGCTCCAAGTACAGTACCTGCCAGAGCAGAGTAATTACGCCACTGATCGGAAGTGATTTAATAGTAACAAAGGCAGGTCCTTAGATTACTGAAGAACACAGTAGTCTTACACACTTCGTGGAAATTGAAATCCTGTTGCTGCCTGAATCGGAAATTAAAGTCCCTGCACGATAGACAACTTTGGTTGTCACTGTTCGAAACAATCCATTACCACCACTTTTCCCGCTAAGAATAATAAAGTTCAAAATCACTTGAAAAGACTAAAAGTTTATATGATCATGAATTCTTTTACTTTAAATTCCCTTCTCTAAAACAAGTGTAGTCGCTTTTATTGCTCATTGACAACATGAAAGTGGCTTACCATTCCCTAAATCTGAACACCTCAATTGTTAAAGCACATATCTGGACAATATGCTTCAATTACATTTTCCAAATCAATAAATCTAATTACTTCAGAATCATTTTTTCAAACCAAAATTGTGCTTACCCTACTATTTCGGGCGTTGGGTCATTGTCCCCTCTGCCCCTCGATGCTGTGAATGTGTGTGTATGTGTTTGTCTGCATGTGTGCGTGCGTGTGGCGCCCGCATGCTCAAACTGAAATACTCCCAAGAACTTTCCTCAGGAGCTGCAACTACAGCTCAATTAACTCTTGCAACATTTACAGAACATTCAAAACCACTGCATCTTCATACCAAATGACACTTCAGGAAGCCAGTAAGGAAAATGAAAACTGCAAAAATTCATTCTTAATTTTATTACATCACAAACATTTCAGAATATCTTTATCATAACAATTTCTACGTATCTTTTATCTCCTTGACAAAGTCATAATTAAAATAATTCTGAAACTCTGATCTACATCCTGAACGATGACCAATTAAGTAAATGTTCAAGGGATGCATGTCAAAATGTGCCAAAAATACACTACACAGGACAAAACTGTTGCTTTTAAACTCTTAATATTCATCATAAACAAAGCAAAGATATATCAGTAATGAATAATATAAACATAACGGTACTGATTGCAAGAATGCCAAGGAGATTTAAGCTTGACCATCACATCTAAGTTACCAGACCATTGCAGTTACCTGAAGAGGAAAGAAAGATTATTTCCCCAAATATTTTGTTTTTAATGAATGAGAAATGTGTCTACTTACTCCACCTGCTTTAAAATTCACAAATAAAACACATATTGTATTCAGGATGATTCTTTGAAATTTTTTTTTCCCTTTAACACATGGCTTAATTATATGAATAATACCTCAATGAGAAAATGCACATACAGAATTTGTTTTGTGTTGGTATTTCATATATGATTAAGACCAAAATGAAGCCATAATGTATACTACATCTAATATCATCCAAAGAACCTTCCACATGTAAATATTTTTAAGACATAAACTTGGGTATACTGATGCTTATGTATATGTTTTTAACATTTTCTTACAGATAAGGTTATACAGTAGGTTTTAATCAAAAGGCAAATGGAGAATTTTAAATTAGATTTGTAAAAAGAGAACATGCATTTTTCCAGTATTTCTCATTTCACTGAACTGTGGCGCATTTTGCCAAAACATTTCTTAATAAAATATACAAAGGACTATAGCTTGCAAATTTTAATAAATCAAAACCTCCAATTCACTTTAAAATTCATCTGAATTTAATTTCTCCATATGCATTTTTTATTTTTTTCTCTGAGACTCAAGTTTCTAAAGATATTACTTTTAGAAAACAACAAAAGAGAAACCTATATTAGCACTTTAAAAGTTGAGAAACAAATTTATTACCAGTTGTTCCTCATTAAATGTATTTTATATAAGCCATCAAAAATATTCAGGGTAAATTGTGGGAAGAAAACTTGGGGGCCCACATTAAAAGTACTTTCTGATGGGATTTTTTAGAAGAGTAAACTTTACATAAATTCTTAGGCTTATAGCACTATTATATGTTGTGACATGTTATACGTGTTCATAAAAAATTAACTAACTAGACATAATAAAATGGGTAAGTCAGATAAATTCATTAAAATGTGTTTTGATATCGCACCTCATATTTACAGAAAATAAAATTATAACAATTATTTAACACAACATATCGGATAAGCAAGAATTCAATATATACTTGGATATATGCACAAACCACCCCCACTGCAGTATACTGTAACTTTAATTATAAACGTGCACATGAATGCTAGCCTATGCAAGGTGCATTTCACATTTCAATTGTCTCTTTTTGTATTGTTTAGGATCGCCCCCTCTGGCTAGGAAATCACTAAAACATAAAACAAGCCCAATTCACACTTCTGATTCACATAATCAAATCATACTTTGTGAAATAAAGGATAAACTAAACATTTTCTACAAAACTGAAGTTACTCAATATTTTCAAAATTTCAGATTATGCCCACATCTAATGTAATGTAAGTATACACACGAGAACTTGAACAAATTTGGAATAAAAGTTTATTTATTCAAGCTCCTAAAAACTTATATTATAATAGCAAAAGCTTTTTAATTAGCATCCAGCAGCAACACATACTTGAAAGAAAAAAGAAAAATATTCAAAATATCTGGCAATATACAAATGTATTTTAGCAAGTTCACAGAATGAAATCATGTGAAAAGCCAATCATACCTTCAATCTTACCAACATTTTAAATTTCAACTTACTACTGAGAAACTAAAAATAGGCTTTATTCATTTCACATACTTTTACTTCACTTCAATAAACTAAAGTATTCATGAGTAAACTGAACTAAAAGGAATAAATCCAAGTAATTAAGGAAACCGCAAAGTGACAGACAATTATTACAAATGTAGGGTATGTCTTCGCATGCAGATATATTATTTGTCCAATTGCATACATGAAACATCACAATGCCAATATTATTTTGTTTTTCTTTCAAAGCAGCAGAAATGTCAATCCACAAAAAACTTTAAAAAATTTCTAAAATTTCACTTCGAGAAAGCAACAAAATACCAATGGCATTGAGATTAGCTAGTTACATCTGTAATTTCATTTTCACATTTTTGCTATTTTTCAGCTATTTTTAAACACACAGGTAAAAAATGTAACAATAAATCTATTTCTTAAAACTAAGCACGGATATTTTTATATTTTTTTTTAACAATACCAAAGAGATAATCAGTGGGCCCCCTTAGAGGATAAAAATTATATACCATTGAAGTTATGTTTTATATATTTCACAACTATAGTTATTTTTAACATGGGTGTCTTGGGAAAATATTTTAGATACAAAATATTCCCAGATGAAGTCACACCTTTAATGTAGATTTTATTAAATGTCAAATACCTCAGGAAAAAAATAATTTCCTTTCCAATGTCGTTTTTGATTTTCGCTAAAGAGGTAATGCATCATGATTCCTTTTTGTCTGTAACAAACAAAACTATGGAATCACCTATCCATTTACAACCAGCTAAAACCAGGGAACTAATTTGTAGTAGTATACTTGTTAAATGTCGTATCAGCAAATTCATATGTACTGGTATTGAGTTATCACTAGTTACACTTTGTTTTTGATACAGAAATTGACCACAGTACCAGTTTAAGATATTGTATTTCATGTACTTGCAACAGCAGTATCATCCAGGTAGAAATATAAGCTTTGGAGAAGCTCAAGCTTTTGTAGCTCATACAATCTACAGAATGTAGCCAAAGTCAGTTCAATTATTGGGTAAATTTTCATCAATTTCATTGAGGAAATAAATTAACTATAAACAATGTGATTCAATTCTCATTCTAGAAATTTGTCTGCGCATAAACAGGATTTCATACCGACAGTACCAAGATGGCTTCATGGCATTATTTCTTCCTAATTAAGCACACATCCCTCATTTATGTCAGTGTTTTAAAAAAATTCCTTTTTGCTCCCCCCTCCCCCGAAGGTAATGTGCTATATTATTCATCCATCAAAAACCATGGACATGTCATACAAACAGAACAAATCACAATACTGGCATTTGTTTTTTCAAAAATGCACTGTTTATAGTTAGATGTTTCTTTCTTCAAATTCATCTAACAATGTTAGAAAAAGAAGGGGGTCAAACCATTCATGTTTTGTGATGTACCCACTCGAATGCCAACAATATCATTGTTTTCCTCACATGATTCCTGAACTCACAACAGGCATGACTAACTGAGAAATAAAGTGAACCCTCAACAAGACTATTCCATCATATACACAAAAGATTTAACTCTGCTATATAAATTAACTTTACTCACTAACCAACAAATAAAAATATGCTTCAACACAGTTCTTCTTTATTTCTCAGTCAGGTACACCTCTTGTAAGACTGCTTCCAACAAAACCATCTGCCTGGAACCTTCCACACATTCTTTTTTAAATAAGACACCATATTAATACAATGTTTATCTTCGTAACAACATAACAAATATATAAAAATAGACTTCATATTTTGTCATATCCTCTCAGTCTATATTCATAAATGGTTTTGTACGCACAATTTGGTCTTGTTATTTCCTATGTTTTCAGAGATGCCACTCCTCTTCCACAATGCTATGTGTCCACAAGGAGAAGCACCAACAAGTAGTCACTCACAATCTGTTAACGCTTCCTGTTCATACTAGTGTTCGAGTACTCGTGTCAGTCACTCAAATGTCTTGAACAGCAAACTTGAAAAAATTCATTAGGGTACCAATGAGCACCACATCTGTAAATTTGGATGAAATCACCCCTTGGACCATGGTATACTCCCACTTAGCACTAATTTTTATTGTTACATTAAGAAGTAGTCTATGATTCATTAAAATAGAAAGTACTATGAAAGCACTGAACATATATTTCATCACACAAAAGTTTATTATTGAGTCTGAAGTAATGTACACTCATAAGGAGAGTTAATAATCCTCTACTATTCTTACAGTTGTGATACAAAGAGAAAATAATTCTTGTAGGGCAAGAGCAACATTCACTTTAACAAACCACATTCCTGAAGTAAATCCTGAATCTGTATGAACAACTTTGAGAATAGAACAAGGTAACACACAGTTCATGCATAAGCATTAATCTTTTGTGTACTGGTAGACTCCAAGTGAAGAACAGAAAAAATAACATCAATTGTAAGAAAACCAATCATTAGGCTACAATTATCCCTACAAGAAAACTTGTAATTGTTTATCCAATCACCAGAAACTGTGTCCACAACTACCATATAAGCTATAGATATACTTTGACACTTAAATTTCCATTAAAAAATGTTAGAAACAAAAAATGCAATTGACTTTGCTAATCATGTTGAAGATTTAGAAAAAAAATTGTCAAAATTGTAAACAAAGAAATTGGGAGATACACCACTTCCATTTGCATTGAATATTAACTGAATGTGGTAGCATATTACTTTACAATGTGAATTTCAAAGAATACTTTTTTTTTTTTAATAATTCATGGATATGAAAAATCTTAGAAACGAAGTTGGAGTGTTTCATCAAAAATACATTTTTTCCCTGTACCGCCAACACATGGAAAAAGTAATTAGTTGTCAGCTGTCACTACACTTGCCAAGACAGATTGTGCTGGACCATCTCCTTGACCTTTATGGCCCACACCATCCAAAATAGTTATAGGAACATCAGAGGTTGCTGCTGCTCTGACAGAAGGACTAGAACAGATTTTGTCTCCATGTTTAACCTGTTCTGCAGAGGGAGAGGCATCATCAAATTGTCCTGCAACAGCAGCTTCCTTACGATGCTTCGTGTTATCATCACCTCCCCCTCCAATGTCACTGTTCAAAAGGGCAGATGCAGGAAGAGTATTCCTACAAAATAAAACAATCTGTTATTTCAGTAAACACATGGCAATTCAAAACAATAAATAAACAAATAAGCCTCTGCCTACTACACCTACCATTGTATTTGAAGACTTTATATTTTTTTAATGTTTCCAAAAATGGAATTGGGGTACATTTTATTTACACACACACACACACACTATGATATACATATTTTTTTTCTGATTTGCTGCCAATCATCACACATCAACTTTTGAGCATTATGGTGGTTAAATCTTTAAGAAAGTACATTTTTTTTAGAAGTAAACTTCAACTCAGCTGAATATATAGCACCCACTACCTTCAAAAAAATCCTGGTTGCACCACTGTACATAGACAAAATCTTTTCTCACACATTTCCAGCCCTAAAATTTAAGAGCAGCCTAGAGCAATCTTGGAAAGTAATTGATGTACAATTGTGAGGTCTCAACATTTCCCCATTTCAAATAGTATTAGAAACGGATTGAGGTTATGAATCAATATTTCGTATTTTAATAGCCCGAGCTTCACTCTTGTACAAAAGTGGCAGAATGTGGAAAAAGTGACAGTTTGAATTATATTAAAAATGAAACTTCAACAACACTGATATAATGGAACAGTTTTACTACATTTTCAAGTTCCCCACCTGTATACCCATTATTGGATGACAAATTTTACTAAAAGAGTATCTGAACTTTCTATGCAATGAATCAAAATTTGTATTTTTGTCCATTGAAAATTAATTTTTTTTAACATTTAATTTAATGTATCCTGCTTTCTAATGAATATTTTCTTGGCATACTGTACATTATTATTGAAATGATAAAACTATAGTAGCCATTTTCCATATATTAACACAACTGATCAAGCTTTGTTCATTTTTCAATGCAAGAAATCATATTATGGGTTAGTTAGATAAAGTTCACAAATGCTCAACACAATAACTATCTCTATGCAATCATTTAATTTCCATTTACACAGATTTTAAAAAAACATGTTCCATTTCCATTTTTATCACAGTATTATTTTGATTTTTTAGTACCCTTTATACAATTACATATTGCAGGAACCAAAAATGGAAAGTTTCCAGTAAAATTTTCTAACTGGCAAGTACATTTCAATCTTCATTGAGCTTTCTGATACAGTTTTCATTTTGTTTTGTAATATAAACAATTAATTATACAAATAAAACAAATAATTTTTGCTATTTGATATGCAGATTGACTACAGATTCCACCTGTATTGTTATTGATTAGTTTGAAAAATTTGTATTTTAAAAATTAAAATACATTATCAATACTTCAATAATGCCTATAAAAATTACATTTAATCACATTAAAGTACATCTTTTTAGGCTCAATGTAGGTGTAACTTTATTTTTCTGAAGGAAAAGGTAGATTTGTGAAGAAAGTTTCAGCATTACTGTATGCAGGATTTTCTGAAAAACTAATTTAATATTTCTGAAAGGAGTGGAATTAGAAAAAATAAAAAATGAATGAGGGGAGGACATTTTTGATCGTGTGACTATGTGGAATGACTCACTTACACTTCCAACAATTGTTTAAGAAATGTATGATCAAATATCTTTACTACACAAATTTAAAAGTCATTTATGAGAACATGTCCCAGGCACCTTTTCATTACCCACAGAAACGTTTGTAATCTTCCTAGCTGTTGCATGTTTAAACAAACCTTTACAATATTAATATTATTTTACTTTTTGAGTTGTAATGGTAAGCTGTACCTGAGACTCCCACACATTAACTCTTGAGTCACACTAATTTAAGACCATTTATATACCTTGTAATCAACCGTCATGGAAGAAGACCAAATTCACAATATTTACTTAACCAACAAAAATTGAGCCAAGAAATAATATCCCAAGGTTATTTAAAGAATAATCACTGATTTCATAATTGTCTCCAAAATTTTCTGATTTCTAACTATGCTACAGCTTTACTCTTTATCAATAAATTCTCTGGTTTTTCCAGTTCATTTCAATGAGTAGCCACTGAAGGAAGAATAGAAAAAGAAAGCAAGTAAGCAAGGGGAGAAAAAAGAGGGGAAGTGAGGAAGAGCATAAAAAAGAATACTGGAAAAGAAGAAGCAATAAGGAAGGAAGGTTTACCATATCCACTTAATTTAAAAACCATACCTACCCAGCAGAGCCTTCCACAGTCATTCCACGACCCTTAGCTTCACGTCTATCAATTTCTCTGTTGTTCAGTTTCTTGTTAGAAGGAGATTTTTTCTTATTGTAACCCTAAAATAATAAGTTTTGAATCAACACTTAATTCTAGGGATATTCTAGCGATCTACTGAGCAGAGCGCGGTATTCACTTGTTCATAAATTACTCTCACTACTTTCAAAAAAAGTAGGATTCCAACCTTGGAAATTACTTGCTGTTTTGCCATGTTGGTGTGCAATTCATTTCCCCCCCCCCCTTTTTTTTCTTTCTTCTTTCCTGGTTTTACTTTTTTGCAGTTTGTGCATATTTGAGTTTTGAGGATGCAAAGATTCAATTTAATGGAGTTACTGGCAATTATTTCAACAAAACAGGTTGTTGTTGATTGAGTGGTGAAACTAAACCTTGTTCTGATAGGCACCCCACACGAGACACTGCTCAAACCGCAAATTATTCCTTTAGAATATTTCCACCCCAGAAAACCAACGTGGGGAGTCAGAGTTGGTTCAGAGCAGCCATCACGCTGATACCCGTTTCTTTATTGCACACCTTGCCGTGCGCTTCCCCCTTTTCATGGAGTGTAAATGGAGTCCACACAAACTTAATTGAATTCTATGCTACTTCTGAAATTAATACACATAAATGAATCATTATTTCATGCATTTCCATCCATACGAACTTACTAAACCTTTCGTTACTTGTTAATACTCAGTGGAGGTGGGGGTTTAGAACAAGTGAATATCAGGCTCCACTTTTAACAGGAAGATCGCTAGAAGCTCCAATTCTATGTTTGAAGAGACCATCACTAACAAACATAACAGAAATACCTGATTTCTTTTGCCTCTTCCTACACTAGCACCTAGTTTTGCCCCACGAGTATGGAACGTTGGTCGAGCCCCGCTGGGAATAGGATTCATATGGTAGTTTGAAACTGCATTGTTTTGGCGATAATTCTTGAGTCCACCAACTGAAGTAACCTATACAAAAAAAATTATTAAATGACACTAATGCACAGTTGAACAATGCACTTCACACTATTCTCAAAAACTATTCTCAAAACTTTTTTTTTTTATTTACATAAAACAATTTCATCACATTCCTAAGTCTGAGAATCACAAGCAAAAAATTTGAATCGATGTCTTCAAAACCATTGCTTTTGTATGAATGTTTCTTTGACACAAGGTTGGAAAATACTCTTCCAGCTTCATTTAAAATACTGGATATTATGTACTTGGACTTGGTGCAAGTATCATTGAATGTATACAAGCATCATCAATCCTAAAACCTTCACAACTTTTATAAACTTTGGAATGCTAGAAGCCCACCATTTTCTCCCAAGCATCTACATTTTCATCTGCTTTAATCTTTGTCGAAGATAATTACGTTGGTAACAAAATAATTGTGTTCATGAAAAAAGAACTTTTTAAAAATATGTGCAGCAAACTAAACAATAATTTATGAAATCTATTGAAAAGTTGATTTTCTTAGCTTAGTTAAAAAGCATGGACTCTGACAAACAAAATACACAGTACTACCAATTATCCCACTGAACTCCCAGTATCTCACTTTTCCCTAAGCTTCCATTGTCGAGTATGAAATGAAAACCGGTTCTCACAACTTGTGCTGATGGCGTGCACAAACCAAACTAACCATTTATATGTTCTACACCATCTCCAGTGATTGATCTTTCTGGGAGTGTCCTGCCCGTAAGTCCTTAACAAGTATTCTCCACTAACCTTAATTTACCTTTTAACTGTCTTCTAAACAACATTTCATTGGATGGTTACAGTTCTCTGACAATCTTTGAAAGGGCTTTTAGTTTTATTCGAATTTAAATAAGCCCCTTCACTTGATTTTGCACCATAATGCAAGCCACTCCTTTACTCAGGAGGGCAAAGTCCTCTATCTCACAAAATGAACATGGCACATTCTATCATTTTTTGCATTACATGAGAGAGAGAGAGAGAGAGAGAGAGAGAGAGAGAGAGAGAGAGAGAGAGAGAG